TGAGCATGCACCCAGAGGGTCCCCTTCTAGCTCTTCAAGTTTTCTGACTGGGGATAGGTACACTGCAGTGGCTCCAAGAATAAAGAACCCGAGAACAAAGCCTCCAGTCTGCCTGCTGTTCCTAGAAAGAAATCAAGAGTGATTAAGTAAACTCAAAGCCCAGGGAGGAGCAATCACCCGCCCAGGCTGTATCCTTCTCACCCTGACACTGGCTCACTCCAGAAGGAGTTCACCACATCTCCAGGAGACAGGGCTGGGAAGTTGCTAGAGGTGTGGAGTGGGTGGCCTGAAAATGGACAGGGTGAGAGGGAAAGAGGGAGAGAGGGACTGACTTCAAGTCTACTTAGAATAACTGTCCTTAAGACATTTTACAGGCTGGGAAATCTCAACTTTGGGAAAATACAGCTTAATTAAGTAGTGCTTAATTGAATCAAAGAAAGGGAGGGGCCTCCGAGAACTTTACATTCTGTCACCTCTTGCTTTTAGTGTTGAGGAAGCTAGACAAAGAGAACTAACACCTACTCACCCCCAAAGTTAAGGTCGTGAACTTCTAAAAGAGCTCAGCAAAAACTTAACTTGGGGTAACAGAGTCCTGTGGAGGCTTTACAGTACAGAAAATTGGGCTGGTCAATTTCCTGCCTCTGTATGTCAGACTGTTCAAGCACCATGTCCTGGACTGTGCCACATTACACTGTGGTCTGCCTTCGGAGTCAAGAACTAATAGTTTGTTTTTCCAGTTACACATGGAGGGGGATAGGGCACCACATGAAATGTTGAATTTCCACTGTCTTCAAACTGAATTGATAGAAAGCAAGCGAGCAAGCTGTCTTTGTATCCACTTCTGCTTTGATGGATTCTCCTCCTTTCTCATCTAACAGAAATTGCTCCCAACTTAATGCAGAAATTTAAAACAAGCCCTCAGGTGCAGTCACTGTCAGCTCTGACTCGAGTGGGAATCCCTGAGGTCATGGTGCCTGGGAGCACATCCCAGGGACACCACCCTGGTGGCATTTCCCTCTCCCGCAAGAAAATGCTGTCCCTTCTACGTCTGGCTCTGGTTGTTCTCTAAGTCGCTCCTGTGCCTAAGCTGAGCCAAGGTTCAGTTAACACAAGCTCACAGTTGTGGGCGGGTCCTGTGAGGGGCTTTCCTCTCACCACAATCTGGAAAGTCGCCTGCCGCCCTAGTCTGGAGCCCCTGCGCAGCAAACGAGCGGAGCGGGGTGTGGACCGAGGTGGTGCCCGCAACCTCCGGTGCTCCGCGCATCCCTCGCGCTCACAGTCCCCCGTGGGACTGTACGCTCCTAGAGAACCTCGGCGCGAAGAGCGCGAAAGACGGCCACGCGCAGAGCCTCCAACCCCAAGTCATCAGCCTGGACTGCCGGTCGCTGCGCCACGCTTTCCGGGAGCATCAGCTCTCCGTTTAATCTAAAGTCTGGAGTCCTGCCTGGGCGCGAGCTTGTGCAGGACGCGGCGTTCCAGGTCTCAGTGCCACGCGCCCACCCCCACGAGCCCCAACTCCTGCTCCCTTCCCTGCAGCAGAGCGCAGGGCTGGGGACTGCGCGAGGGCCCTGTGCAGCTAAGAACTGGACAGCAGCGGGCTTCCTCTGGAGAGGTCACCGGCTGCCCGGACTTCCACCTGCAAGGGCCAGGCCCAGGTCACCTTGGCCTACGTGCCTTTCATTCCAGCCTCTACCCCCAGGGGAGGTTACTGCCGGTCACCGCCGCCGCGCCTTCCTCCAGCCTAGCTCACGCACCGCAAACTGAGCTTCCCTGCTGAGCCCGCGCGCCGGATTGCTGCGGCCAGGGATGGGTCAGCCAGGAGCACCGGAGAAAAAAAAAGCGGTAATAGGAACCGCCGCCGGTGCGGTGCTCCCTGGATCCCGCTCCTGCGACCCCTCTTAGCGCCACGGCCGGGGCTGGAAGTCCCCGCTGCGCATCGCAGCAGCGCTTTCCAACTTCTTCCAATGGGCAGCTGATGTGGAAGCCCGCCTGTCTGCAGGTGGAGAGAGTGTGAAGGCAATACCTACCGCTGGCGGCGGTCAGGCTCGGGAGCCCCAAGCCCAGGACCACCAGGAGCAGTGCTTTGCTCCCCATCTCGGCGCGCGCTCTTCTGCAGGAGCTGCGGGCGCGGCGGGTGCGCGGAATGCTGGTGCACAGGCTGCGCCGGAGGCGAGGAGGGCTGGAGCTCAGCACAGGAAAAGTCGTCCTTTAAAGGGGAGGGCAGGGCAGCTGGAATGGTCAGATTTCCTCCAAGAAGGAAGTGGAGGCGGAGGAACTGAGTCTGACACTGTTTCCACTCCGCGGCGGCTTAAGTGACTGGAAATATGCAAATAAACCTCATCACCTATTGGCTATAAACTCATAAGTTGGGAGGAGGTTAAATTCACTTCCAAATATTTGAGCAAACTGCCCTGAGGATCAGCCCTGCCAGCAGCGAGAAGAGGGGAAAGGGCAGAGAAAAAAAATGTGTTGTTGCTCCTTAGGCTCCTGCTTGCTCTACCCCAAGGCATCTACTCCTCAGAGCCGCCTGGGTCGGCACACAGCGGGTCTACCCTGATTTAACTACTCAGCTATCCCCAGTTTGCCAAGGAGAAAGAAGTTGTGTTCTTAAACTACATTTGATTAGCAACTTAATCCACTTCTCTGCACATAGGTCCTGATTGTTGACTTGTAGTGCTGTCCCCCTCCTCCTTAAATCAACAGTAGGGACCCAGGAACGCATGGTGCTCTATGGGCTGCGCCTGCACAACGAGGCGCTTCAACTCGAGCAAGATGGATTAGCGTGTGTGGTGGAGAAAAGCCCACCCGCTTTAAGTAGTTCCTAATTTTTGCCTCATTCAAGTTAGCCTCAGGTTCATTGATGAATACATGAACATTTTCTCTTCAGAGGCAGAATATCAAGGCCAAACAATTTTTAAATTATACTGAGTTCTAAATGAAGGACGGGAGTGACAAAAGACATATACTGTGCGGCTCCAAGTCTACGGAGACAGAAAGTAGATTAGTGGTTCCCTGGGGCTAAAGAATACAGGGAGGTTGGCTGGGCTTGGGGTGTTCTAGAATTCCATTATGGTTGTGGTTGCCCAAGTCTATAAATGCGCTAGAAACAACTGAATTGTGTCTTTTCAACTAGTAAACATTAAGCTGTTTTAAAAAGTGGATTGAGCAATGTACATAAGAAAAATAAAATCACCTTTCTGCCAATATGCTAAGAAAGCTTTCAAAGGAAAGGGACTTACAGGGTCTCTGAAGGGCATTTCATGTTGTGCTTCCCACCGTATGGCTGAGAAACTGGTGTAAAATCCAGATCTCCGACTCATTGTCTTTGCTGCTCTGAGTGTGTCCTTGTCTCTTCCTAACACACACACACACACACACACACACACACACTTGTAGATTAGGATGAAAGGTGATGCAATTTAAACTAGGCTCAACTTTGAAGTTTTCCCCAACAACAAAACAAGGACTGATAAGGCCCCACTAATTCACAGTTGACTTCTGTAGACAGAGTGCTGTCTTGAAGCTGGAGCACGCAGTGCCACGGCACAGTGTGTCCCAATTCCTAAACAACGGTCCACGTTCAATCAGCCCTATGAAAAATGCAGAGAATCTTGAAAGCTGCCGAGAACCAAACCCCACAGAACGACTTCGAAGTGGCAGAACCGACCGCCTGGGTGGATGACTGTGATGTGCACGTCCTCCAAAATGTATGTGATAATTCTAACCATAAAAAGACAAGAGGAGTCCTTTGCTTTCGATGTGATCATGATATGGAAAACATAAACAGAAGTACAGAGATGCCCATTTCCTCATATAGAATACTTGCATCACCTGTTTTCCTGCATAAGATCATTGGTTAGACAACCAACCAAAGCAAAGCGCTTCGCTATGTTTCTGAGAGCTGCAAAACTTTATGCGATAACAAAAGGGCAATCTGGTGCTTCTACAGGCTTTTTAGGGGCCAACAGATAACAAAATCAAAATACTTCAGAGCTGGGGTACATTTTTGTTTGTGCTAAGTGCAGCCTTTTCTGCTATGCTGCACGCCCATTAGAGCTGCAGAGATTTCCAGGAAGGACTAACCTTCAGCTGCCTGGCCTGGTGGCACAACAGATCCGCTGGCCGCTCTCCGAGGGCAGCAGTGGGCAGGTGGGTGTGGCGGCAGTCCTGTCTCCTGATTGGCTCTGCCCTGGGAGGGATCAGGTGCCTGCGTTCTCACGCCCACACTCACATGAGCTCTGGGTCAAGACTGCGCGCGCCTTAGAGAAGGGAATCCTGTCCAAACTTCGACAAGGTTATTTGGCCAAGGATAGCCTGCAGCGTGGCTTTTTCTAGAAGTGATATTCATTTCTAACAAAATTTTTTAAAAAACAAAACTTTAATGATGCTAGGCATTTTATAAACTTTTAAGAAGGCATATTTAAGTGGGATACTCGGATCAAATATAGGTTTCAAATGATGTAAATAAAAACTTTTATCTAGGGAATTAATGCAACAGCTGAAAGTCCAGATAGGAGGAAGCACTGGCCACCTACCCATCTATTATTCTGACTGCCTGATGTTTGCACACAGTAGGTTCTTTGCATCCTTTTCTGCATTTAATCATTACGAGAATGACCAGAATTAAATAAAATTCTCATTATACAAATGAAGGAGGATGAAATTCAAAAAATCTTAAATAACAGCAACCACAAAGTGTATTTGCTTTGACAGTCACAGGAGAGGAAGAAAATGTATTTAATGTGTTAAATTTTAATGCAGCTGTAATTACAAACAGAAAAGGCTGGCATGCACGTGGATTTCGTTTTGTTTGTTTAATGCTTATTTTAGTGCAGATTTCATCTTGCAGTTTCCTTGCTAAATTAAAATAGAAAAGGTCTAAATGGTCTCTAAATAGCAAGAGTTCTGATGTGGATCTGGTCTCTGTCACAAAATAATTATATTTAAGGCAGGAAAAATTCATTCCATGCAAATAAAATTTAAAAATGAAAAACATCTTTATCAATTTTTTTAATTTATTGACTTTTTTAAATAAAAAACTGAGTGTTTACCAAAACTCACTGTGAAGGGCTCTGCAGCACGTTCCAGCACATTCAAGCACTGTTGCACAGCGGACAGGGAGGAACAGAGACAGATCTGAACAGAGGTGGCCAGGACGTCCCACACTGGAGACACTGGCCAGGGTGGGGATGGAAGCAATGGAATGGGCGGTGGGTCAGGGGCCTGGGATGGAGCTGTCCTACCCGGCAGGGGACAGGTGGAGATGCTGGTGCTACAGAGGCCTTCTCTAATCCGTAGCCCAACACAACTGGGTTGAAGCATCCCAAAGAGTGCATTTCTGGAGTTTTTAAGTCAGATGTGATGCAGTTAGCTTGGTAAAGTTGAGTTTTGAGCCCCGGAAAAGTTCAAAGGACGAGTAAAATGTTATCTTTGCTCTACTGCCTACTAATCTCTTCCCTTAAAGAAGACTGAATTAAAGCATCAGAGTATTCTCTTTGCTTGCAGCAGGAGGAGGAGCAACATTAAGTAAGGGGAGAATTGCTCCAAGCCAAAAAGTTACCATAAAATGATCTGGGAAAATTTTTAAGAATTTTAGTTGTTTCTGGTGTCGGTAAGGTCAACAGTAAAATATTTGAACAAAATTAAGAAAACTAAAAGATAATTTTTAAAGGAGAATTTTAAAAGTCTGAACACCAGTGAATTGCCATAGTACATGCAGAAACAAGGTTTTCTGAGACGTGAGGGGAACAGAACATAATGCACAGTGCTGTCACTGCATCAGGAAGAGGGACACAGCCCTTCCTAGAGGACAGCTCATACAATCTGAAAAGAATGCCTACAAATAATTTATGTTCATTTATAAACAGATTTCTCGCTTTTCCCAAAAAACAAAATTAAAAACAGTTTGAGTCCCTGATTGAATGGCGACGATGCGTCAGATCACGAGTTCTTATTGCCCAGGGTCTCACAGTGAGAGAGAATTTTTCACCCAGCATCAGAGGCCTGGCCTGAGAGGAGCTGGGCTCATAGCAGAACACGTGTGTGAGGTGCCCCCTGCTGACTTGCTGGGGACACTGTCAACCTCCCAAAAGCCACACTAAGAGGCGTAAGGCAGAGTGGACTTGATTCATTACTAAGCTATGGTTGTTATCTGAGTCACCTCATCCCTTTGGTTAGATCGGAAGTTAGAAGGAGGGAAGGCCCTGCTCCTTCCACCACTGGCCCAGGTCCCAGGGCATCTGGTGGCGCAAGCACGTGAAGGGGTTCTTAGCCAGTAGGTAAAATGGGGGGAAAACAGGATGCTTTATTTTAATTTTTCATTAGATTTATTAATAAGGAATCTTGAATTTGCAACAGGTACGTGCACAAACGTGAACACACACACACACACACACACACACACACACACACCCCTTGACAAAGGTTGTGCTGGGCAGAAGGAATCTGTATTAGAGAAATAGAGGTCAATCTCACTTGACAGGCAGCTTTGCTGGCCTCTGCTTTTTCTCTCCTTTCTTCCAGATAACCGGTTAGCTTGAATAGTAGCATTGTGCTGACCAGAAACAAAACCACAAAGATAAAACCCCAGATTTCACGCTGTTATTTAAAAGTGTACTTTTAAATAAGTGCCTAATTGTACGGATTTGCATCTTTCCTTTTTTTTTTTTTTTATAAGGTTGGCTGAGAGTTTGCCAATTTCATTTAATCAAAGAACCAAGTCTTTGATTCACTTATTATTTGTTTATTTTCTTAGTGTACATTGCATTAACTTCTCTCCACACCCCCACGTCCCCGGTACTGGGGATCAAACTCAGGACCTTGCCCTTGCCAGGTAGTGCTTGTGCCACTGCGCTTATCATTTCCTCCCTTGTACAGCTTTGGGCTCGATCTACTCTTCCTTTTCTAGAAGCCTGAGAATCAAGATTCGTTTGTTTATTTGAGCTTATTCTGCTTTTGTGATATAGGAACACACCACTCTAAATTTCCCTCGTAGGACTGATTTCAGCGTGTTGCATAAGTTCTGGTATATTGTATCAGCATTATCATTTAGTTGTGGAAATTGTTTAATTTCTCCTTTAATTATATTATAGTTTCAGTCCTTTGCGTTTACCTAAACATGTTCTGTGAGCTAGAGTGTGGTCTCTCTCTCTCTCTCTTTTTTTTTGGTGGAACCGGGGATTGAACTCAGGCCCTTGCACTTGCCAGGGAAGTGCTTATTCCACTGAGCCATCTCCCCGGCCCTAGAGTGTGGTCTCTTTTGGAGAATGTCCCATAAGCAGGTGAGAAGAATGCATATTCTTATGCTGTATGGTGGAGCACTCTGTAAACATTTACTATGTCCATTTACTCAAAAGATTGATTCAGTTCTGATATTTCTTTG